AGGCTTACGGCGAAGAAATACCGTCTGATTTACGGGAATATGAATGAGGTATTGCAGAATAACACTTGCATCTGTTGATGTCAATATTGCATGTGCTTTGCTGCAGGTATTTGGGATCGCGTTAGGAAGTACGAAATCTGCAACGGCGGTAATTATGCAAAGATACTGAAGGTCGCCAACGCTTCCAGCTGGTTGTACGATGACGTCACGCAACCAAAAGTGATCTTGTTTCAGAAGCTGGTAGTAGAACTATTTTATTGGTAAATGTAGGGCCGCAGGGATGCAGTTTTGCAAAACACAGGGGTGAGAAAGGGAAGGGAGGTGGTGCAGAGGGAAAGAGATGGCTGAGCATGCCTCCGAAATACACTCGGAGTAGTTTTTTACCCAGATTTGACACACCTTTACAGCTGGGCGCAGGGGTGGTGTTTCTCAAAATTAGGTTTTGGGCAGCTGAACCACCCAAACTATGAAAAATGAAAAATAAAAGACAAAATGATAAGTTAACGCAGGAAACTTATCAAGTTAACGCAGGAAACTTATCAAACTTATCACTGTTAACGCAGTGTTATTCTGCAATACCTCATTCATATTCCCGTAAATCAGACGGTATTTCTTCGCCGTAAGCCTGTTTCGTCAAAAATGTAGGGGGGGAATAAGGGTAAATTTATGTGCAAATGGTGCTTTGCATTTGCACACACACACAACCATTCAAAAAATTTGAATGTGCATTGCCAATTTGACGTGCGCAGTAATTCTTATTATGCTGGACACCATCATTCATTATTTGGCCAATCCATGGACTCATTCACTTGTTCATTTATTCGCCTCATCCATGCAGTTATCCGCCCACCCATTCATCTATTTCGCCCACACATTTAAACAATTTGTCTTTATTTAAATATTTCATTCATGCAGGCGATTTATCTATCCACACGCCCAGTCAAGTGTTAGTTGGGTCTGCTCCTCCTAAGAATCTATTTTCCACTTTAAGTGTAGAGTGACCTCTGACCGAAATCTAAAAATTTGAGATTTGTTGATGGAGCTGATGCATTTATTCAATATGTGCTTGTATGTAAGTCCATACTTTCCGCAATTTGTTACAGTATGGGCTCCGTCACAGGGAGCAGTATCACACAGCAGTGATAGGTACCCACTGAGCTTTGCAAAGGTGAACATGTTGGTTAGGGGGCACGATGCCGCCTCCCCCCTTAACTCAGGGGCGGATCTAGAGTGTGGGGGGGGGGGGGGCACCGGGCCATGGCTTCCCCTTGGGCCACGAAGAGGCTCAGTGGCTCCAGGGTAGCCCCATAGCCAACCAACCATGTGCAGTTTTTTTTAGCAAAAAAGGAAGAAACGCAACAAAATTGGACATCTCTGGATTTCCAGGCGACCAAGAACAGTTTCAAGCGAAAGTGAGGGGCCGACGAGAAATGAAAAAAGTTCTTCAATGATTGAAAAAGCTGTGGATAGTAAACTATAAGCCTCATTACACTGTCTAAGCGCCCTATGCTGTTTCTGGGGGGGGGGGGGGGGGGCTACATGCCCACTTGCAGGGTCCTTCCGATCGCTACGGAACCTTCCACGTTGCCCTTTTTCTCAGAGAGCCCTGTGCTGTTGCTGGGGTTCTTCCTGCTAGCGTGCCAGGGCACTCTTGTCAGTCAAGGGTCCTTCCACGGATTTTTTCCATTCACCAGAAAGGCTCTGTGGACTGTGGCCAGGACCCTATATCTTAACCTGCCGGAGAACTCTCAGTTGCTCAGAGGCCCTTTACGAGGGTCCCGGTTAACATACCAACACGCTCGCGATATGCTCCCGGGCCCTCTACATTGGCCTAGGGCGCTTTCCCATTCCATGTCGCTTGCTTAGGACCCTACGCTCTTGTCGGGGGCCCATCTGTTAGCCTGCTTGGGCGTACTCGGTCTTTCAGGGATCATACACACTGGGTCTTGGGTACTTCTTGTCTGAATGGGGCGGGGGGACCTACGCTCTTGTGGGGGTCTGTTTGATAACCTGCTCGAGCACACTCGATCGTTCGGGAGCCCTCTACATCGGGTTTTGGGCACGTCATATTTGAATGGGTGCCCTACGCACTCGTCGGGGACCCCCTCTGTTCACTTCCTCGACCACAATGGATTGTTCGGGAGCCCTGCACATTCGGTCTTGGTGTTTGAATTTACGGCCCTGTGCTCCTATCGGGGTCATCTGATATCTTTTTCGGGTACACTCCACCTTTCGGAACCCTCCACATTGCGTCCTGGGCACTTCCTATCTGAATGGAGGGCCCCACGCACTTGTCGGGAACCACTACACACTGTCCCACACACACTGACCCCACACATTTTGGGGCTTATTATGTTGTCTAGAGCCATTACGCTGCTGATTGCCTTGGTCCTATATGTCCATTTGCCGGGCCAGTCTGATCACTAAGGAGCTTTCCATGTTTCCCTTGATCTATTTGCATTTCTCGTGGGACCTAACGCTGCCGTTGGAACGCTATCTGCTTCCATGCCTGGGCACTCTTGGTCGTTGCAGATTGTCCTCCAAGGATTCTTCCCATCCGCCCAAAAGGCTCAGCACGCGTTTTCCGGGGCCCCATATGCCAATGTTCACTCGGTTGCTCAGGGGCCCTTCATATTAGTCTCGTTTTTTTCGGCTTGCTTGGACGATCCTGTGCTGTTGATGAGGCGCATATAAGGTAGGGCAGCAAGACACCCGATGCTCAGGTGCCCTCTGTTTTGATCGGGGGCTCTTTCCCTTTTATCTCATTTGCGGAGGACTGTTCACTCCCATCGAGGTTCTTTCTGTTGGCCTGCCCGTGCACTTTTGATCGCACAAGGGACTCACGGTCTCGCATAACTGCGTTTCCTCAGAGGGTACGGTACGGTGCTCTGGCCGGGGCCTTATATCTCAGCCCGCCGGAGCAGTTCGGTCGTTTAGGGGCCCACCACGTTCTTCTTGGTTTCCTTTTGCTTGCTCTGAGGACCCTATACTTATTGAAGGGGGCCACTTTGTTAGCCTCCTGCGGCACCCAGGATCGCTCAGGTTCCGTCCCTTTGGTCGTGGTGCCTTCGCCCTAGAGCAGCAGTCGAATATGTCCCGATGATTTTTTACGCGCAATTGGCGAACGTAATTTTACGTGCCGCCGACAACGTGTCATTTCCAGTGGCTATTGAGCGTGTGACACTTAGTATACTAGTGCATCATATTTTTAACGTATTTTGAACGCCAAGATATTTTGTACTACTTTTTAACAAAGGAAAAATTGTGCATTAGTCATCTGCCATCAGCTGACTATATCGCCCAACCGGCCAGCCGCAAATAAGCTAGGAATCAAGTCCCTGCTCGGTTTTGATGGTTGTTAGCAGTCAACTCGGGTTAACTTTGCCTGTTGCTCTGAAATACTTAGCCTCAAAATTACAGGATTTGACATAATCTGTTGAGCATGAATAAGCTCTATGAACATTCATTCGTAGTACGCCCAACTCTAGTGCTGCGCACAGCAAGATGGGTTTCCGTAATCGTCTCAAAATGTGCTAACCGGAATGCAATGACATTGTGCGACGGGGCCCCAAACTCTAGGAGCCTCAAACTCTATGGAGCCCCACAATGCTGCGTGCCCCTCGTTGACGAAATCCCGGATCCGCCCCTGCCCCAGCTGAATAGGAAGCTGCACCTTTAGGCTGGTTGTGTTAAGTATGCCTTTACCTGAATTCGATTGGTTTAGTCTCAACCATTTTTCAGTGTTTCATGGTCAGCAAATGACACTTAGGTGCAAATGAACTCACGAAACAAAAATGTTTGAAGGTTATGCTGCGTTGCATTTAATGCGCCTTTGTTCTTGTGGTTTATCGCATTAAGAGGTATGTTGCGACGGTTTGTGAAAGGTTTGACTCCAAGTGACAATTTGGACGGTTCCAAATATCGTTGATGACAGAAAAGGCACTTTTTTATCCTTGCAATCTTTGGCGGGTGTGTCGTGAGATAACGTGTGTAAAACATTGCATTCCCAACACATTGCAGTCCTGATACCTCAGTGCCTTCGTTCAGCTCGCCCGGGTTCGTCATGGACATCAGGAGCCCTGCTGTCTATGAATGATAGCTTGATTCCATGGCACATGTCTTTCTATGAACCTTTCTTTCTATTTGCGTATTCCCCATAAAACCAAGCAGAAAGCGTAAGTGCGATGCACCGAATTTTCACGCTTTTTCACATCCTCCCAGAGTGCGCAGCGAAGTTGGATCAGATGGACATGAGAGGATTCTCCTGCACAATTTGCCAGTATTTAAGTTTTGAAACTGTGAGGTATTATTTACCTTTAATAGCCCGTTCGCTGCGTCTGAAATCAGAACAGTTAATACTAGGTGTTTAGGTGGAGACTGCCCGAATTCTTGAGCTTACACACCAAGAAACAAAAGTGAAAAATGTCGTAGTGTTAAATGTAGTAATGAACAGAGCGGTATGCACTTTGAAGAAATTTCAACTTTGGAAGCACAGAATACAAAGTGTCATAGCCTTCTACAATCCCCTTTTCTCCCATCCACCTCTAATGGCCCGATTTCCACAAAACCGTAAATTGAGGCACACGTCCTGCGACGGACACATTATTCAGTCCGACTGGCGGGGGAAGGTCAGCTGACAGCTAGACAAAGACGGTAGCCTTGCACGGAGCGGTCACGCCTTACCACCGCACAGCACCTAAATACCCCTGCAGTCTTGCCTGCTGAAAGGTCAGGGGTCAGAGATAAAACCATGCGATCAATCGCATGTTTAGTGTTGTGTCGGCCTGTGTTGAGTGGCCGGTTCAGGGCACGAGCTACGGCTTAGGTTCAGCAGGGATCCTGCTTGGCGGGGTTCTGAACTAAGTGCAAACTGGGGAGATAACTGCAAGAAAAGCTTTCTTAAATACAGAAAAACCTGCAGCTAAGCTCCAGCGTCATCTGACAATGTTAGATCCATCCTATCAAATACTAACCGGGTGCATCTGCTTTCTCTGTCACAGATGGCTGCTGTTGCTGGCGATGATCTTCGCAGAGCTTCAGCAGAGCACTGTGATGGCGAGAAGGAAGGTATGCGACGACAATGGTGTATGCAGTTATTGTTATCACACGGGGAAACATAAGCAACGCATCTTTTCCTTATCTCAGCCCCGATATAAAAGGCGGCCTGCGCGGGAATTCCCTAGCGGCGGGTGTCACGTTTCGCTTCGTCCGGTAATCTTAATCATGGAACCGTCAGCACCAGCTTGCCATCAGAGTTGAGTCACCTCGGCAGCGCTGGTCGATACATCGCCAATCCCAGTCGCTCCGTCCCCGTTGTCGGTCTGGCCTTGCTTGAGTGTGGCAACGTATGCTCTGCCCGCCTGCAGCACCGGATCCGCCATAACGTGCAGCGGCGGCTGAAGCGGCAGCAGAGCAGTCAAGTGTACGCCTACTCGGCCCGCGCAGGACTCGGGCCCCTGGGGCATCTGGGGCACGCAGTCGCCCTGCTCTCGCTCCTGTGGCGGCGGCGTGGCCTTCCAGGTCCGGCGCTGCCAGGACGAGAGGTGAGATCTTCCAGGTCCGATGCTGCCGGGGTAAGAGGTGAGACCTTCCAGGTCTGACACTGCCAGGACCTGCCAAGCCCGGCGCTGTCAGGACGAGAGGTGAGACCTGCCAGGTCCGGCGCTGTCAGGACGAGAGACGAGACCTTCCAGGTCTGGCGCTGCCGGGGCGAGAGGTGAGACCTTCCAGGGCCGGCGCTGTCAGGACGAGAGGCAAGACCTTCCAGGGCCGGCGCTGGGCGAGACCTTTCAGGGCCGGTGCTGCCAAGACGAGAGGTGAGGCCTTTCAGGTCCGACGCTGCCAGGACCTGAGGTGAGACCTTCGAGGTCCGGATTTGTCGACGCGAGGGGTGTGATCTTTCAGGTAGGTTCGGCGCTGCCAGAGGGAGAAGTAAGACCTCCTAGGTTCAGCTGACTCAGGACGAGTGGTGAGGTGTACAAATAGCCTTCAGCTATTTGTTCCGTTGCAACGTTCCATGTAAAGTATCATAGTCTAGTCCGTGGTAATTTTGTTTCTAAACTGAGAGATGGCGTATGTCAGGTCAGGCCGGGTTCTGAGCCTTGAGCTTTATAGAAAGGGTACTCCATGTCAGGTGCTATAAGGCTGTATGACAAGAATATTTCGAAGTCGCTTGAAATGTTTACGTTGATCTCCGCCACTGGTGGAAATTTGGTAAACTTCCTCAGTTCTGCTGCGTAATTTCAGATTCACCTCCGTTTATACTTTACGCTTCACCATGCACGTTGGTTTGGATTTATCACGTGCTTCTCTTCGTCCCGAGTGTGCTTGATGACACAGCCGATTCCCCTGATTGGTGGTGCAATCGCGTTGTGTTTTCTTGGGAGAAGGACCATTGGAAACTGTTAATCTGACATCCGACCTGACGGTTCCAGGCCAGATGGCTCGTCGTCTTGCACTGGACCAAACAAGCAGTATATCTCCTGCAACATTGAGGTGAGAAACACATACTCTGCTGGGCCGAGCGTTCGCGTGCTGGGCTGTCTGATATCTTGGCATGTGATTTGTTCCTTGATATCAAGTTAACCGGTTACATCGCAGATGACAGTGGAAACAGATCTGATATGTCATCTAGACTACTGCACAAAGTATAACCTTTAGCTCACATGCATACTTCGACGTTGATTTTCCAATCACTTTAACCCAATTCGCAGCTCAATAAATGCCGGGGACGGTAGTTCGATTTGATGCATGTGATTTCATAAGGGGCGGATTACTAGTAAAAGGGCATCTTGCTCCTTATACCACCTCATCGCAGTCATCACTTTCTAAATGTCCGAGACTTTAGCCATGTGATGCTCCATAGTAGCATGTCTAGACTACAGAAGGTGTCATTTCACGGAGTGAGTAACATAAGTGACTCATTATTGACAATGATTTGCTTCGGCTGAAATTTGCCACGATGCGTTTTCCCAGATTATTTGCTTTTGTCCAGCTTGCGTAGAATGCGCGGATGTATCTGTGATCCGCTGACTGTCGTCGATGTCGAAGCCGTGTCGTTGATGTCGGAGTCGTGTCGTTGATGTCGGAGCCGTGTCGCTAATGTCGGAGCCGTATCGCTGATGTCGGAGCCGTGCCGTCCATCCTGGAGCCGTGTCGTTGTTGGCGGAGCAGTGTCGCTGGCGTCGGAGCCGTGTCGCTGATGTCGGTAATGTGTACCTGATGTCGGTATTGTGCCGCTAATGTCAGTATTGCATCGCCGATGTTGGTGCTGAGCCGATGTTGTGACCTAATGTTCGTACTGTGTCGCTGACGTCAGTGTTTTATCGCGGATGTCGGTGCTGTGTACCTGATGTCTGTAATGTGTAGGTGTAGTATACCTCATGTCGGTACTGTGTCGGTGATGTTTGGGCCTTTTCGTTGATGTCCATGCTGTGTCGCGGATGTCGGGGTACGACCGGGACCATGAGCGCGTGTTGGCGTTTCAGCCCTGTCCCGGAGGGTCCGGTGACTTGAGGGAGGAGCAGTGCACCGAGTTCGACAGGCTGCCATTTGAAGGACGCTACTACAAGTAAGACCGGATGTTGGTCGCTATGTTATGTTGGATGTGGCTGTAAATTTACTGTGGTATCACTTTCTGCACATCTTTAAAATGGCTTCTTCTGTCTTCCTTATTAATGCTCCCAAAAAGCAGGATAAGGTATAGGAAGTAGGAAGTGGGCATCACGTATGCTTGGTACAGCTGTAAGGTGCCCACATGCTACACAGCCATCACTCTCAGTCATATTTGTGACCTCAGCATGCCCCATGACCCTGATTCATTTGCCTTCGCAACATTTGAGCTCTGATGCGATGTTATAAATAGTTATTTTTTCATAAGCAACCTAGTCGAAATCGCCCAGACGGGAATCTAAACCATCGTCATCATGACTTGAAAGTCTTTATGTTGAAGTAAGCACTTTCAATATGTCATGAGGTTCTGGATAGGCAATGTTGTACTGCTAAATGACGACGATATTGACAGTGCTCAATATTTCAAACTGTGCACATCCTTAAAGGCGACAAGGGTTCAAAAAGGCTCCGCGAAAATAAGCTCTTGGAAAACAAGACATGTGAATCTTTAGAATGATGCCCGGAGCTGCTGCCCCTGTTGACACCGGGCCCGGCCTGCGGCAGGTGGATACCGTACCTGAAGGCGCCGAGTCAGTGCGAACTCAACTCCCTGTTGACACCGCCCCGGCCTGCGGCAGGTGGATACCATACCTGAAGGCGCCGAGCCAGTGCGAGCTCAACTCCCTGTTGACACCGCCCCGGCCTGCGGCAGGTGGATACCGTACCTGAAGGCGCCGAGCCAGCGCGAACTCAACTCCCTGTTGACACCGCCCCGGCCTGCGGCAGGTGGATACCGTGCCTGAAGGCGCCGAGCCAGCGCGAGCTCAACTCCCTGTTAACACCGCCCCGGCCTGCGGCAGGTGGATACCGTACCTGAAGGCGCCGAACCAGTGCGAGCTCAACTCCCTGTTAACACCGCCCCGGCCTGCGGCAGGTGGATACCGTACCTGAAGGCGCCGAACCAGTGCGAGCTCAACTCCCTGTTAACACCGCCCCGGCCTGCGGCAGGTGGATACCGTACCTGAAGGCGCCGAACCAGTGCGAGCTCAACTGTCAGCCGCAGGGCGAGCGCTTCTACTACCGGCACAAGAGGAGGGTCATCGACGGCACCAGCTGCGGGCCCGAGGGCCTCGACGTCTGCGTCGACGGACAGTGCATGGTAACCGAGCTGGCGCCGACGCTGGGAGAGCCTGCCTGGCGCGGACGGCTGCCGTTCTGTGGTACGGCGAGCGACTGCAATCGGGGGATAGTTGATCTTGGTCCAGGGTGTGATAGCTTATAGGTCATCGTGTATCTCTTATTGCACCTGTTTCCTTTCATACCACTCGCGCAGCTTTTGACACCTTAATTCACTTCAGCAGCCATTTTTTCTAATGTTTTGTACGGTCCGACGGCATGTCTTGTCAGGCGTACTCGTAACTCAACACCCAGATGTTAGTCCTCCTGCCCATCGGATTAAATGGCTCTGTTCTGGCTACCAATGGCTATGGCGGGAATACGACACCGTGTCGAGGAATGCTACGACACGCGCGCCCGTGAGAGGTCGACGGTCGCGCCCCCTGACACCTTCACTGTCGATGGGGCCAACCAGGCCACCTATTCCGGGACCCACTCGCTTTGCCGTGTAATTACGAGTCCATCATCCATACGCCAGATCACAAATAAGATAGTGACAGTGACATTGGGTTAGGCTGATGCTCACTCACCTTGCGCTCATGCCCGGGGCTCACATCATCCCTACTCTCACCCTCATGTCCGATCTCACGGACCCCACTGACGCCATCTCACCGTTCTCACGATCACGCCTTGTCGCCAGCAAGTGGGCTGCGACCGCATGCTGGGCTCCACCGTGAAGGAGGACAGGTGCCGCGTGTGCGGCGGCGACGGCTCCGACTGCTACACCGCCCACGGCGTCTTCGACGCCGAGAACCTGCAGTCGGGTGAGCTGTGATCTGCCCTCTAGCTGGGATCTGCCCTCTAGCTGTGATTTGCCCTCTAGCTGTGATTTGCCCTCTAGCTGTGATCTGCCCTCTAGCTTTACCTGCCCTCTAGCTGTGATCAGTCCTCTAGCGGTGATCCGCCTTCTAGCGGTGATCCGCCTTCTAGCGGGCTGTAATACTGGTCGACAAATTGAGCTGGAGGCAGGGTTTTCGTGGTATACTTTTGTGACAGCTGCTATCAATTCCAGTTCAGAACGTTGATCATCTGCGGCTACAAACGCGACCTTCATCGAGAAACGAACTTTTGGCTGCCAATGTTCCACCGTAATCTACCTTCCAAGTCTCTTGCTTGGTGTGAGCAGCGGCGCGTTGGCAATGCTTCAAACGCGTCCTTTCCTCGGGCCACGGGAATGTCAAGTGGACTAGGGTGTGCGTCGGGGGTGGGGGGGGGGGGGGAGATTCCCATCGCCATTTTAGACCGCCGGTGGTCTAGCGACTCACGTTTCTGTGACCTCCCCTAGGCTACAACGACATCCTGCTCATTCCAAAGGGGGCCACGAACATCATCATCGAGGAGATCAAGGCAACGAACAACTATCTAGGTATGCGAAGCCCGTTATGCTCCATATGCCCTCCATGTGTTAACCACGGCCATTATCTGTTCACTTTTAGTATGCTTCTGGGGCTGGTCGTGTTCACAACATTGCTTGGAATCTTCTCAGGACTGTCGATGATGGTGTAGGTCTGCCCATACGTTGGTGAACAATGTTTGATGTTCAAAATAATCTCATTCAAACTCGAAACTGTCGCACTTTGGCCCGGTACACTAACAAAACGCAAGACCAATGCCCGGGGTTCGTGGCTACCTTTTACCTCCTTTACGTGCAATCACATGGCGCGTTTCCCCAGCTATCCGGAATTCGACTGGTCATTACTACCTGAACGGCAACTGGCGGATCGACTACCCCACCACCATGGAGTTCGCGGGCGGCAAGGTCCACTACGAGCGGAGGCCACTGGGCTTCTTCTCCCCAGAGACCGTGCGCGCCCTCGGCCCCACCAGCGAAGCCCTCTACGTGGTGGTGAGTTGTGCATTGTACCAGCGAAGCTTGCCGTGGCTAACAGCAAGGCCTTCTGTGGCTTTCTGAGACCCTTGAGGATCTCAGAATCACCCTGGCGTGGTGGTGAAATCTGAAGTGCACCTCGAATGCCTTCTACGACACCGGTGGACGAGCACTGCTTGACACAATAGCTGACACGCGGCTCTCCCAGTGGTGTTCGGTGATGTATTGTGCCAACGAAGTCCTCCACGTGGTGGTGGGTCATGATAACCGTGGCGATCAACGTGTTGTTTAGTAACGTACCGCCCCACCGAGACTCTCCACAATGCCTTGAATTGTGCGCTCATTGCAGCGCCGTGGTCCTTCCATGTTTGTCTGAGTATCGCACCAATAGTATCTCTAGTGCGCTGGAAGCTGTGTATTGTGTCACAGTGACTCTGTACGTTGCTGAAATGTACGCCACCACTGGGGCTATTATTGTGACAGCAGATGCCCCAGTTTGCCGCCACAGACATGGTTAATGCTGTCACATGTCACAATTGCTGCCTAGATATGGAAAAGCCACCCACCCGCAGTGGTCCAATGCTTCCAGGCAGACCAGGCTCAGGATAGGTTGACGGCACTGTATCATCCTCGCACCTCTCTGTAACGATTCAGGCATAGGCTATTTGGCTATCACGTTGCACTGCCATTCTTGGTACTGGTAAATGTACGTGCTAAGTCAACATTATTCAAGTTGTTTTACTTCATTGTCCACACTGCACATGCCCGATAAGATTATGGGAGGCATTTGTCCCTAGCTCGAACGTGTTCATGCCAAACACCCTCATAACTCTTCCCTGCACACCGACGTTCATCCTGATCACCTGTCATTTGTCGGCCGGCACTTTCTGCACGTGACGTCGCACCCTCGGCCACCAGCTGCTGTACCAGGAGCGTAACGCCGGCATCCGGTACGAGTACAGCGTGCCGCGGACGGTGGCGGACGCCGGCAGCTCCGAGTACTCGTGGGTGACGTCCGCCTGGTCGCCCTGCTCCGAACAGTGCGGCGGAGGTGAGCCCGCGCCCGCCTGTTCGTGTTCGTCTACCCATGTGGTGCGCTTCTATGGACTCTGCATACGTCGTGGCTGTCCTTAGCCTAGCGACAGCCGCTCTAATAAAGGGACGCATAGTAAAGCATACGATTTTGCTAGAATTCATGTATCGCCGCTAGTACTTAATCAATCGATAAGGGCACGCAAAATAAAATCAAGAGAGAATCAAGGCAGTCCCTGCGCTCAGGCTCCTCGGCTGCGATACTTCCACCGGGTTAGTCTATACCTGACATCCCCTTTGGACGGAGCCAGCGCCTAGAGTCGGCGGAAACGCACTGAAACAACATCACAAGTGCGCGCCAGTGGCAGAATAGAAAGCTCACGTGCCGGCTGACACACAGTATCACATCGACCAAAACCACAGCTACGCGTGTTGTTGTTTCCTTTCTTCAGCAAATTATATTTGTTCATTTGAGGTGTTTCATTGTCGGCTGTACCATTGAGGTGCTATTGACAATAGCACGTGTCTGGCCCTAAACAGGTCAAAGAATAAGGCGCAGAGATACAGATCGTCAATATTGGGATTTTGACCACTTTGCAAGGTGTATAATCTTGGGAATGTAGCACAGCACACAAATAATAAAGATGCATCCGTAATGCGGTCTTGATTTGTCAGCAAATGTACTAGTCGTTTTTTGTAATGCCTGCAAACACAATAGGTTTCCTCCGGCATGCTTTACCTCATTTACGGGAAAGCGAGATATTGATTTACTTTTTTGCCGCTTTATACTAGTTCCTGTACTGTTCACGCAGTTGTTGCCCGTTTTGTGCAAGCTTATTAAAGCATCTCCACGAAAAAAAAAAACATTCTGATCTGAGAAGAATGCCCAGAATTCATCCACTGCATGCACCACCGACCATGTCCCGTCTTCGATGACGCTATAACTGCACGCCACTACGCAACTGTTTGCCATCTCTGAGGGTCTGCCGTGTCAATGACGCGACTCAGACCCGCCGTTCGGTGTTTGTATGGGTCAACAGGCAGCCACAGCCGCCAGCTGAGCTGCATCAGGAAGCAGGACATGCGGGAGGTGTCGCCCGACCTCTGCGACCTCCTGACCAAGCCCGAGGAGACCGAGAGCTGCAACCAGCAGCCCTGCCAGGCCAGGTGCGCTTACTGCGAGACCAGGGAACTGCTGTGCTCTCGAGCATCTATCACGCGTGACTCCCCTGTTTGTGTATGTCCGCCGGACAGCCTGTCAGGCTTGGTGAGGGTGACGACTGAGGTGAACCTGGAGCGCGACAACTCGTGTCTGACGCCTACTACCAGCGTCAGAGTCACCGCGAAACAGTTCATGTGGCAACGTCTCGCCCCCTCCGCCCTTAAGCTGCCCTAAACTGACCTGTTCTGACCTACTTTGCCCCTCCATTCTCTGCCATGCCCCTCCGCATGCCCTTTGCTGTCCTACTCTGTCTTGTCTTACCCCACTCTGTCTTACCCTACTTTGTCTTACCCTACTCTGTCTTACCCTGATCTGTCTTACCCTACTCTGTCTTACCCTACTCTGTCTTACCCTACTCTGTCTTACCCTACTCTGTCTTACCCAAGTCTGCCCGCTCTTTCCTGTCCACGCCTAGCGTTGCCCTGTCCCCTGCCCTGCGCTGTCCTGACCTGACCCGACCTGACCCGACCTCTGCTCGCCTGCCGCAGCTGGAAGGTGGGCGAGTGGTCGGCCTGCTCGGCCGGCTGCGGCGCCGGCGGCGTCCAGTACCGCCAGGTCACCTGCGAGCAGAAGGTGCAGGAGTCCGTCAAGGCCGTGGTCGACGACGACCTGTGCGCGCGCACGCTGGGCACCCGGCCGGCGCACATGCAGGAGTGCAACACCGACACGTCCGCCTGCCCCACCTTCCACGTCGGCGACTGGTCACCGGTGCGTGCCGCCGGCGTGGGTCTGGGAGCGGCGCTATTGGTCCAGCGGGCTGAAGAGCGCCAAATGCTGTGCGGATCTTGCCTGTTTACACGAGCTCCGAACACTCACCACGCGCACCCAATCTCACTCGCACCGGTCAAGCACAATACGCTCAGCTGATTATTGGGGTTGATGGGATTTATGCTTCGTCAACTGAAGACCTCACGGGCACTATCGCCGCCTTGATAGTTATTAGGATTCTGTATCACGGGGTGAGTTTTGTGACCTCCATGAGCTGCTCGGTCTGCCGTCAAGTGACACTACACATCATTTCTTGAGATGAGACAATTTTCCTGATATTTGCAAAATAAACGATGCAGACATTTCCTGACGTAGGTTTGTGCGTTCAAAATGGTGCTTTTTACCTGCAAATGGTGGTGTATACCAGAAAACGGTGTCGTGGCATGCCAGAATGATGGTACCTCATGTCACTGACACTTGGCCGTGCCCTCTGGCAGTGTGGCAGTCTGTGCGGGGAGGACGAGAAGAGTCGCCAGGGTACTGTGCCACCGCGTCACTGACACCAAGACAGAGCTTCTGGACGCTGCCGAGTGCGAGGGTGACATGCCGAACGCCACTGAGCCCTGCATGCTCAGACCCTGCGAGGGCGTCGACTGGATCGCGTCCAGCTGGAGCGGGGTGAGCGTCCCTCTCCCCCTCCCCCCCCCCCCTGGTGGGGGGACTCCGGCGGGAGATGAAGAGGCTCGTGGGCGCCACGACCGCCCGCACCGCCGGGTGGGCGTAGGAAAGCCGTGGGCCAAAGAATTCCTGTATGGTTTTCGCGTGGTACGAGGCGTGATCGAAAATCGTTTCCAGCAAATGATGTAAACTCAAACCAAATTTCCGCGGCTGGCCTCTCCATTCGACGGTGTTCGTGACATTTCAAACCGGTAGTCCCAGCACCACACCGCGGGGCGGTGTAAGTCAGCTACGAGTGCGCCGGCTGGGCGACAGTGTGCCGGAGCGCGGACGGACTCAGACCTGTCTCCAGTGTCTCCACCTGAGCTCAAACCTGTGACCAGCGCCCGCTGTCAGCCTCGACGGCCGGACCGAGGCATCGCGACGCTAAATAATTTGAGATGTAAAATGGCCGCGCCACGCTTGTTAGCCCCCAACAGCGACGCACCTGGAGCCGTCTCCCGCACAACGCCAAACGCCACCCGTCGCCCGCCCCGGCAGTGCGAGGAGAAGTGTGGCCTTGTGACGGAGACCAGGAGTGTGCAGTGCGTCAACATGGAGGGCAAGGTGTACGCGGACGAATACTGCCAGAGCGGCCGCCGGCCGGAGACCGAGCAGGAGTGCCTGACCACCACCGTCTGCCCGCACAGCTGGTATGCCACCCAGTGGAGTGAGGTGAGTGCGGGGCGCCGCCCTTCCGCGAGTCGCCCCGGTCAGCGGGGAGAGTAGCGCTAGAGCTGGGTTGGAGTCGGTCTGGAGACGAGGTTGATCATGTGTGTTTGTTCAACGGAAATGCGATCTGAAAAGAGCTGGTTTTGCTTTAAAGATTGAACAATATCTTGCGTACATGGATCGCGGACAGAACCTTCATACTACACTCCTGTACATTTTCGCTCTCCGTCATTTTCCCTCCCTCGCCTGAATGCTTGTTTTCCATGCCATCCATAATTTGCGATGTTATCATTGAAGTATTTTGCTTAGATCACCCTTTTATCTAACTTCCATCATTCATTATTTGTCATTCCATTGCTTATCATTCACTCCTTTGTGGTCGTTCTTCAGCTGCTGATGTGGTGTGAATCCGTCATTTGGCTTCTGATATTACTGATACAGCAGACACCCGACTCCAAAACCACCACCTTACCTCCGGCTCTTGTTCAGCATCAGCCGTTCGCCTGATCATCTATGCAGAGCCTCCACCCAGGTCCGGAGACGCTGACCCCGTCGCCCCGCCTGCAGTGTTCGTCCTCGTGCGGACCGGGCGTGCAGACGCGCCGCGTGTTCTGCGCCTCCGTCAACGACGACGGCCTGATCGTGCCCGGCGACGACGACCAGTGCGACCCTGCCAAGAAGTACGAGGCCTCGCAGCCGTGCGAGGGCGCTGAGGGCAACTGCGACGCCAGCTGGATGTCCGGCCCCTGGGGACCGGTGAGACGCCGCAAGGGTCGGGCAGCGGGGATGAGGGTGGTGTCCGCCACGCTTCAAAGACGGGGCGCTACCCTCACCTGCCGACGCACTTGTACGCTCAACCTCACAGACAGCCGCAGCCCAGCTGGCTCTGATCACCTCGCCTGTAATAATACCAGCCTTACAGCCGTGTTCGCAATGACACTACTTGAAGTCACACTGACTGGGTCCCAGTCAGGTGGACGACCACGCATCATTCTTACAGGCATTGCACTGGACGGAAGGAAACAGCACAAAACTGGACAGAATGGAACTGAGCACAGACCTGAACAGAATGGAGTCGCTGAGCTTAATGGCACTGAAACCCGACTTTACCATGGCATGACTGCTGCAGGGCTCCATATTTCACGGGCGATCCTCTCAGCCTGCTCGAGACCAGCATGCTCTGTGGCGTTCCAGTGCTCCAAGTCTTGTGAGAAGGGCTCGCAGTCGCGCGAGGTGTTCTGCACGGACGGGCAGGAGAGGGTCGACATCACGCTCTGCGACGACAAGCAGATACCGTTCGCCCTGCAGGAATGCAACGACATGGAATGCGACGCTGCAGGTCTGCATCTCGTCGCCTTCATCCGAGCTTTAACGGCATTACGCCCGCCACTCATCTGTTGCCTTTGTATTTAATGGTAGTTTCGCACTGCACATCGTAAAAAGAAGCCAGTCAAGGCTGTCTGCAGGCTGTAAGAACCATTTCTGAGATATTTATACGCTAACAGATATTAGTACTCACTGGAGTGTAGATCAAATAGTCTAACCCCGTGATCGGCTGGTTGGCTACGTAGCCCAGCTTTGTCTGTGTCTCAACACATCCTGTTTTTCACCAAATGCCGCGTTTCACCACTTTTTTGCCTCCCCATATTTCACTTCGTCCGGTGTCTAACCACCTCCTGTGTAATCACCGTAGGTGTCCTCTCACCTCTTGTTTCTCACCTGCTCCTATATTTCACCACCTCTCGCGTCCTTATTGGTCACATGTTTTACCATGCGCAATGTCTCCCCATGCATGGTTTCTCACCACGTGCCGTGTGGAGCCACTGTCACGGGTCTTCGCCGTGCCTCGAGCCATGCCCTGTCTGAGCGCCTGTGCGTCGTGCCTCCTGCTACGTACCTCTGCTCCTTCATGTCCCGTTTTTACCGTATGATGCGGTCGTCTTCAGAGGAACTGAAGCAGCTGAAGGAGTTGGCGTCGCTGGCCTTCGACCCAAGTGCTCTGGACGACGAGTGTCCGTTGGACGGGGAATTCGTGAGTAAATGACGGGCTTGGCCCCAGCCTACACTCTGCACAGATAATGGTGGCAGATGACCGGGCTGAGGAGCGCGCCTCATGATTCCTTTAGTCTCGCCTACTTACGACGGTCGTCATCACTAGCACGTTCACGCATTCATGCAAAAGCGATCAATGCTAAGTTCAGCAAAGATATTTGTTCTTACTTTGTGCTGCGTCGAACTAACATCACTGTCACTGAGAACAGTCTCATGAACAGCTGGGTCCCATGATTACCCTTTCCATGTGCTGAATAGTGCACCATGCCAAAAGTGCACCGGTAGCGTTCATGGTGTCGATTTCCTTGCTTATGTCCCCCTTTGGCCGTGATTGAAAGACGATGCACAATTACGGATGATAATAATTTCAACTTTTAGGGTGCATCCACTGGAAATGATTATGCGGCGTTCATACATTTACTGTTCAAAAAGCATACGGTTACAGTGTACACATATATGTATATTGCTGTCCCGCTGGCTCAGTGGGTTAGAGCACCTGCCTTTTGCCTTATCCACTCCCGTTTGGCGAAGGCGGGTACAAGTCGCTCTAAGCGTCCACTATTTGTCCTTGACGGAAATGACCTGCGGGCGGGGGCAGCGGCCGTGCTTAAGGTCAGGTGACGTCAAAGGGCAGGCCGCGCCGTGCCGAGCATTGCGGCGCGGTTAACTTTCACCACCAAATTCTGCCGTTGATCCGGAATAACGCGATCTGATGGTAGGGGTCAGGCTCACACAACAACCTTCAGAAGGTTCGTATGTTAAACCTAAAAAGATGCCTGTCTGTTAGTGTGACTAATCCATTGAAACACGCGGAGACAGCATTTCATTAGTCTCGAACAATTATTTTTTAGCTAATTATCACTGAGGGTGCTCCCATTGCCGGCACTTTTAGGGACTGGACTTCCTGGGCAGCGGATCGGGCGACGGGTCCGGAGACATCTTTGGTTCCGGTGACGAGCTGGATGTCAGTTTCAACGACCTGCTCGGCCGCGCCCTGGACGCTCAGGCTGCTGATAGGGAGAAGGACTCCGAAGAGGCGTCGGGCATGGAGGATGCTTCAGAAGAAAAGGACTCAAAATCGTCCGAAGAGGACTCCAGCTCGTCCGAGGAGGACTCGAGCTCGTCTGAGGAGAGATCGGGCTCGTCCGAAGAGGAGTCTGGCATGGGAGAGGATATGTCGGGGGCAATGCCGGAGGATATGTCTGGAGAGATGCAGGATGTTATGCCTGGGGAGGTGTCAGAGGAGACCTCTGGAGATACTTCAGGAGATATGGCCGAAGGGATCGAGGACATGTCGGGCGAGGCACCTGTTGACGGCTCGTCTGAGGGCTCCGGCGAAATGGGCATGAATACGTCTGAGGAAGCGCTGAACGCGTCTGGCGAGTTTTCTGGTGACGCGTCCGGTGATTTCGAGGAAATTTCCGGAGCAGAGTCTGGCGATTCGGTGGAGGAGATGTCATCCGGTGATTCGGATGGTAAGCTGCCAGCCTCGGCCACTGAAGAGTCCCGTGTTAAACGCCAGGTGTCTGGCGCTCCGGCACCAGACACGCCACCTGAGGTCGAGGCTGGCGATGACCTGTCTGGAGACATGTCCGGAGACATGTCCGGAGACATGTCCGGAGACATATCCGGGGATGTGTTGGGAGAAGCGTCTGGTGACTTGTCGGACTTCATGTCTGGAGATATGTCCGGAGACATGTCTGGGGATGATGGTTCAGGAGAAGATACGATTGGGTCAGGAGAGGTGTCTGGAGACCTCCTTGACGACGATGGCATCAGCGGAGAAATGACGGGCAGTGGCGAAGGCAGTGGGGACATGATGGAAAGCGGAGACATGATGGAAAGTGGGGACATGATTGGAAAGCGGAGACATGATGGAAAGTGGGGACATGGTGGAAAGCGGAGACATGATGGAAAGCGGAGATATGATGGAAAGCGGAGACATGATGGAAAGCGGGGACATGATGGAAAGCGGAGACATGATGGAAAGCGGGGACATGATAGAAAGCGGAGACATGATGGAAAGCGGAGAGATGATAGAAAGCGGAGACATGATAGACAGCGACGACGTGTCTGAAAGCGGAGACATGAGCGGAGAGGATGAAGAAAGCGGGGACGCGAGTGGAGATGACATGATGCAGAGTGGAGAAATGCCAGTGTCCGGAGATGACATTGATGAGCAGACAAGCGGGGAGGACGAGTCGGGCTCCGCTGTGGACTCGGACGAAAGCGGAGACCTTCCGGATGATTCGCCGGAGGAGAGCAGCGAGGAGGAGGGATCCTCCGACGCGAGTGGCGAGTCCCGGTGACGACAGCGATGAGGACATGCTGGACGGGATGGACGAAATGGCCGGCAGCGGTGACCAACTGATGGACGGAAGCGCAGAAAAAAGACGACGACATGATGATGGGCTCTGGAGACATATCGGGAGAAGGCTCAGCGGATGCCTCAGGATCTGGAGACTTTGACGGTAAGTGATAGTGTTCTTCAGCTTTATAAGAAGTCAACTCATTTGAACCCTTTAAAACTGTACTGCACACCGACTTATGAAGAAAACATAAATACCAACGCATTTGTTGAATAGGTTTTGAAATTAGTTAATGCATCCGCATCATTTAGATATGCTGCAAATATTTCAGTGGTCCATCAGTATAACAAATGAATTGCTAATGAAGAAAACATGAATTCAATGCTATCGTCCCAACCGCCAGAGCCACTAACTCGGCAAAAGCTATCTGAATGCTTCCGCTTTGTATCTAAATCATTGTGCACGTAACGACTTCAGTGTGGCCATTTTCCGACATTGACGCAGACGCCCTGACTGGCCGATGTGCACCCCTGTTTACTCTGCTTGCGTTTTCAGACCTTGAGCTTCTGCCACGCTTCGGTGAGAAGGAGGAGCAAAAGTCCAAGAAGAAGTGCGTGCCTCGGCCTGTTCGCATCCTGTGCGAGGCGACCGACTTCGGGTGCTGCCCGGATGGGCTGACTGCCGCCGCCGGCCCCTTCCTCAAGGACTGCCCGCCGGTAAGGAGCCTGCGACCGTTAGTTGTGTCCGCCGGAAACCTGCGGACAAACCAGCGAACTTGACTTCTTTGCCGAGGATCGTTGATCCATCGATCGTCGTGCTGGGGATCGCCATCGATTTCGCCTTTTGCTTTTTCTCTCTCCATGTTGTTAGGTGTTGATGTTAGCCATTTCCAACGTACACCCCGCAATACGGCCACGGTGAGAGGAGTTCCGCGCACCACAAGGGCCACTTCATGTTGTTAGGTGCTGATGTTAGCCATTTCCAACGTACACCCCGCAATGACGGCCACGGTGAGAGAGTTCCGCGCACCACAAGGGCCAGGAGTAACAGCCTGTTGTGACCGGTACCGCACGGTGTCGCGGCAGCTGGACAACTGCCAGAAGACCAAGTTCGGCTGCTGTCCGGACCGCGTGACGCCAGCACAGTCGGAGGACGAGAGCGAGTGTCCGCCGGTGGCCGACTGCAGCCGCTCGCTGTTCGGCTGCTGCCCTGACGAGTTCAGCGAACTCTCCGGGCCCGAGGCAGACAACTGTCCCAACGTCACCCGAGAGTGCGAGATCAGCAAGTGAGTACGCTCGTTTTGCCGCTTTCTGCAGGTCTCGTCTTACTTCCACGGTTTGCCCAGTAGGTGAAAAGTAGGCGGCGGCCCGATGTCCTTGCGTAGACGCAGGCGTACCCCTGCGGCTAGCCGTGTGCACATATGGACGAGTGGTTGCGGTGCTTGGAGAGGGGAAGGTTTGAATAAAAAGTTGGGTCTCGGATGCCATCCTATGGCTAAATCTGTCTGAGAAATCAGACGGATGAAAGCGTAATACTGAGTCCAGTCTCCGGACCCTAGCTCTCACCGCTAGCGAGGAGCGAGTTGTTGACCCACCTAATGCGTCCGGTCAGGTTCGGATGCTGCTCCGAGTCGGACGACCCAGCTGAGGGTCCGTTCGACAAGGGCTGCCCGGAGAAGGACACCGAGGCGCCGGCTGTCGATGATGAGGACAAGAAAATGGATGACGCCAAAAACTGCACAGACACACCGTAAGCTATCTCTCGGCCGTACCACCGCTTCCATCGGCTACGCATGCTTTCGTGACTATAAATTACATCACTGTGGAACTCCCTGGCTTTTCTCCTAACCCGGGCAATCCATTCAGACTGTGGCACAATCAGTCAGTCGATATCCCACGAAAACACTGGCGGCCTCGCAGACGGCCGGCGGACGTTAACGGCGACGATCGACGGCGGCGGCAGCCCCGTGGCGCTCCTCGAGGCGACTCGAGTCCTTAACGTCTGTCACACGTGCACGCCAGGCACGGCTGCTGCGCGGACGGCACCACGGCCGCGTCTGGCCCCAACGGCGAGGGATGTCCGGCAGCCTGCCTCAGCTCCGAGTTCGGCTGCTGTCCCAACGGCTTCTACCCGGCGCACGGCCCCAACCAGGAGGGCTGCTGCCTCAACACCAAGTTCGGCTGCTGTCCCGACAATATCACGCCGGCCAGTGGGACGGATCTGGAGGGTGAGGTGCTAGTGATGGTGCCATCCGCCAACACGTGCCGCTTACAATTCAAGTGACGTTAATTGTGTGATGCATCACCACTATCCTGATTGGCTACATTGGGAATGACCTGACGCGTTTGCGTTGCATGTCAGGTTTATGGCTAGGCCGCTTGAAGTCTTCTCAGGAGATGGCGGTTACAGTCAACCGTATTCGGCACAGTGACATTACGAAACTCGTATATCTAACCCTTACTCTGTTTCCTTCGGTTTTTTCAATTGCACATTCCCCACATCTCACTTTCTTTCTCGCACTCTCTCCTCCCTCTTCCCACCTCTCGTCCTGTGTCTGGCCACTCACGTGGATGGTCGCTTGCCCGGCACCTCAGGCTGCGGCTGCGAGTACTCGGCGTTCGGCTGCTGCCCCGACAACCGGACGTTGGCGCGCGGCGAGGCGCTGGAGGGCTGCGGCTGCCGCTACACCGAGCACGGCTGCTGTCCGGACGGCTACACGCCGGCTGCCGGGCCCGACAGCCTCGGCTGCGGTTGCCACACCTTCCCATACGGCTGCTGCCCCGACGGCCAGACCGTCGCTCGTGGCCCCAACCAGGAGGGTGAGTCCGCCGCCGGACCGACACGAACGGCGGCCCCAACCAGGAGGGTGAGTCCGCCGCCGGACCGACACGAACGGTGACCCCAACCAGGAGGGTGAGTCCGCCGCCGGACCGACACGAACGGCGGCCCCAACCAGGAGGGTGAGTCCGCCGCCGGACCGACACGAATGGCGGTGTGGCCGTGTGTTGGATTCCTGAATTGTGTTCCTGAATCATGCATGTGGTTGAATAAGAAAAGGCATTTTCAAAGATTCCTTGTGGCTAAACCACTCATTTTCCTCGACTGTTTGTAATGTGAAGTAAACCAGTATGAGTTCATTACATCCTCCATCTCGCGCCCGTGTGGCTTATCATGCACTCACTGTGTCTCCACTACGCATGTTGTCATTGGCTTAAAATCCCAATAAAGAGTAGCCGGCGTGTTACATTTGCATTTTCCGCGGGTTGTGAACTGTGTGTGTGTGCTTTTCTTCTCGATCGGCTTTAATTCAAGCCATTGGAGGCTATCCCTCTGCTCCCTCCCGCTCAGCTGCAAGCGTCACACACCTATGCACGCGTCGGCCGCAGCTCTCCCGCCGCTCTGTGTGATCCCGCCGCTCTGTGTGACACTGCCGCTCTGTGTGATCCCGCCGCTCTGTGTGACCCCGCCGCTCTGTTTGATCCCGTTCGTGCCGTTTCAGAGTGCGGCTGCGACTACGCCGAGTTCGGCTTGCTGTCCGGACCGACGCACGCAAGCCAGCGGGCCGGGCTACGCCGGCTGCGGCTGCGAGTCGTACCCGTACGGCTGCTGTCCGGACGGGCGAAACAGAGGCCACCGGACCCAAGTTCGAAGGCTGCGACGACAAACCCAAGGAGCCGGCAGGTCTGACTGCCCGACCGCCGACCGCGGTCCTGAGCTTTGGTTTGAATGTTCCTTAGCCTGCGTCGGTGACCCTTTGCCTTCAAAAGCGCTTCACTGATTACAGAGCGTCTGACATAAAAGCGTCTACCAAAAAGTCGATCCGCTGCGAGGCCATTTTTCTGGCGTATGTCTGTGCTGTTGAGGGCGTGAACGCTCGTGCGCGGGCGCGATGGGGGACCGTCCTCTGGTCAGAAGAACTCCTAGAGGCCTTCTTGGCGTGTTCAGGCTTGATTTGACAAGTCCTAAAATCCCAATGGAGTCACTACATGCTACAAAATGCAGCTGTGCAGCCTCGATGTACACACTGAGTGTCCGCCGCGTGACTCATGGCAGTGTGGCACCACCCAGTCCGACACCACACCGACCTCCACCGAAGGCCCACTGACATGGCACGTGGCCCGCAGAGATCTGCGGCATGCCCAAGGAGCGTGGCTCCTGCCGCAACTTCACCGTGCGCTGGTTCTTCGACATGGAGTACGGCGGCTGCTCGCGCTTCTGGTTCGGCGGCTGCGACGGCAATGACAACAGCTTTGAGACTCAGGAGGACTGCAAGGCACTCTGCGTGGAGCCCGAAGGCATGGGTGCGTGGGACGTTTGGGTGGGAGATCCCAATGCAATCGTTTTCTTATATTTCGTTACATTTGTGTTCGCTGTATTTGCAATACTCTTATTCCAACTAATGTTTGGAATATTGCTTAGGAGCCAAGTGTGTGACCATTTGTTTCTGGCACTTCAGCGTAGCATTTGAATTGGATGATCGTCCTTAGAGAGCTGGAAACATCGCGAAACTAATGATATGTATGCTCTACTTTCATTTATTTTACTTTATCTGACACAGATACCGCATAAGCCTAGTACAGCAAACCTAGCCCTGCGTGGCGTTCGGCAATGATAAGAATCTCTCTTTGCTCTGCTCACCGTTCGTGCTATCGTCCGCACCTGTGAGCTGTGTCGACTGACCTTGCCTGACCCCACCGGCGTGCCTCAACAGAGGCGTGCCAGCTGCCGGTGGTGAAGGGCGCCTGTGACGGCTACTATCCGTCTTGGTACTACAACCGCGAGCGCAGCCGGTGCGAGCCGTTCGTCTACGGCGGCTGTCTGGGCAACGGCAATCGTTTCGCCACGGTCGAGGAGTGCGAGAACGTCTGCGTCGTGCCTGACACCCTGGGTAAGCTTCGGTCGAGGAGTGCGAGAACGTCTGCGTCGTGCCTGACACCCTGGGTAAGCTTCGGTCGATGAGTGCGAGAACGTCTGCGACGTGTCTGACACTCTGGGTAAGCCTTAGTCGGCGCAGTTGCTGCAGCTGATCTTAGCAGAAGTTCCCCATGCCAGCTCGCTCAGGACTTGCCCAAGAGACGTCGGGACTCGCTGTGAAGCTGGCGGAGCGAGTGCGGGAAATGACTGACCGTTGGCGTTGGGTGTCTGTCACAGATCCGTGCGAACAACAGGTCATGCCTGGGCCGTGCCAGGGCAACATCTCGCGCTGGCACTTCGACAAGGAGTCTTCCTCGTGCAAGGAGTTCATCTACGGAGGGTGCAAGGCCAATGAGAACAACTTCCTCACCAAGGAGGAGTGCACGCACCGTTGCGCCAGGGCCGGCCGGAAAGGTAAGCACCGTTCAGGATAACTCCCACCTACGCGCCCCCTTAGCACGCTTGGGATAACTCCCACCTATACGCCCCCTTAGCAAGCTCGGCATAACTCCCACCTACGCGCCCCCTTAGCAAGCTCGGGATAACTCCCACCTACGCGCCCCCTTAGCAAGCTCGGCATAACCCCCACCTACGCGCCCCCTTAGCAAGCGCGGGATAACTCCCACCTACGCGCCCCCTTAGCAAGCTCGGGATAACTCCCACCTACGCGCCCCCTTAACAAGCTCGGATAACTCCCACCTACGCGCCCCCTTAGCACGCTCGGGATAACTCCCACCTACACGCCCCTTTAGCACGCTCAGATAAACTCCCACCTTACGCGCCCCCTAGGGGATAACGCCCCATCCTATGCACCGTCCCCTTATCACCGCTCAGGATAACTCCCCAACTATGCACCGTTTAGCCGTACCAAGATGCGAATCTGAATGGTGGAACGGAGTGAAGAATTTCAAAATACTCCACCAGCTTGGTGTTGGGCCTGTTGGTTAGATCCTCCTCAATTGACCATTACCGTTAGTGATATCCACGAGCTATTTGATGTGGTCCATATAGCATCGAGCGTATTTAAATTTCTAACGCTCCGCGTACCCCGGGATGGAATATCTGCCGACTGCAACTCTCACTTAAGTTCGTCAAACACAAAAATTATTCGCCCAAAATTTGCAGTGGACTTGCTATGATGATTATGAGAAAAAGGATGATTGAATTGAGTTCCTCGTGGCCAGCCACAAACTTTACAGCTCTCATGCCATGCCTGTCTGATCATACAATTGAATTACAATCTGCGTCACAAATAATCGCAGACCAGTTTCTACACTGCGCCGTTATTTTAGTAACATAATACATGCACAGGATTATGTCACGTTTATTGATATCGTGCGCGCATACAGTATTATCTTGAAAAAAATAATCATATACATACTACAATTATTTCTTTGTATGTGCGGACACAGCGTGGTAAGCACACATCTATTACACCACGCCGTTATTTCGCCGTGTTATCTGTGCAATGTTGGGAGGCGGCAGCGCCTGTCATGAGCCACCTGGAGTCGGCCGCTCTCTGACCACTGCCTGGTCTGCGGCAGCCATCTGCTCCCAGCCGCGTGCCGAGGGCTCGTGCGGAGAGTCGCTGCCGCGCTGGTACTTCGACTACCAGGAGAGCCGCTGCTCGCCGTTCTACTACACCGGCTGCGGCGGCAGTCTGAACCAGTTCGACAGCGAGGAGGAGTGCGAGGAGTCGTGCCCCTCACACGTCTACGGTAGGCGGCGTTGCGATCGCCGGCGCCCTGGGTCAGGCCGCCGTCGCAGCTCTAACGTGAATGTGACGTTCGGTGGTGTTTATCAGCATGGAGAGACGTGTCCACGGACAGCGGGCGCTAATTGGTGACTGCGGATGAACCACGGGTCATGGCCACTGATCTTAAAGGTCTTGAAAGCTACTGATCTCTGGCATGCTATGTGGTGCCACTGCCAGGTGGTTTTAAATTGTACAAAAATTTAGCCAATTGGATAGGTATTTTAATATCTGCAATGGCGTTTCCTCGGGGCACAGCTTAGTGATAGGGTGTGTACTAGATCAAATGCAAGCGATCAGCATTTTAGCTCTGAGTACTGCTGGCCGAACTGCAAACAGATGCAAGCGCCAGCGGCACATCTTGCTCAATATAACCTCGCGATGATCATAACTATTCGAGAACTTAGGGAGCCACAGAAGTTGCATAGGCATCTTGACACTGTGATGCACGACGCTTGTTTCTGGCATGTCGCTGTTGTTCTCTAAGCCCGCACTCTCGCTTCCTCAGCGGCCGAGGCCTGCACGGAGAAGCAGGACCCAGGTCCCTGCGCCAACTACACCATCCGCTACTCGTACGACCTGCAGGACGGCCGCTGCAAGCCGTTCTACTACGGCGGCTGCGACGGCAACCGGAACAACTTCCGCTCGGATGAGGAGTGCCGCGACAAGTGCGAGGTCCGCAAGATCGAGACGGAGCGACCCCAGTTCCGCACGGGTCAGTGGCGACGGCGGACGCTGCGCTTGCCACGCCGTCAGCGGCGTCCCCTGTGACTATCGCGCAAGTGCTGCACAAGATGCGGTGGCGGCACCAGGTGTCTGTGTGTGTCCGACAGGCCAGGGGTATACTTCCCTGCATAGCTTCAGCCCATGCAGGTGGACGCCGTCCGAGCATAAGATGTTCGATTATTTAAGTGACAACGACCGCACACCATGCGAGACGGTTTCAGCAGGTCTCTGGCAAAACCGACGGCGTTAGAGAGGATCGTCATGCTGTTAAGAGTGTCGGCCGTCAGTTCGGCTCAGCTGCCTGATAGGGTCTCCCCCTCCCATTACTGACGGTGTGCCGGTACCTGCACGGACTCTGTTTCCCAGTCAGCCCATTTGTGACCCAGTCGACCCCTCGACAGAGTCGTGTTTCCTGCCGGGCGACGCCGGCTCGTGCGGCACCGCCTCCTCCCCCGAGGCGCTCTGGTACTACGACGCTCGGGTGGGCGTCTGCACCCAGTTCCTCTACAGCGGCTGCGGCGGCAACGAAAACCGGTTCCGGACGCGCGACGAGTGCCGCCAGCGCTGCGGCGCGGCTCAGGGTGAGCCGGCGGTTCTCGACCGGCGAGGCCGGCGTCTTGGGACCAGCCTTGTGGTGCTCTCGCGCGACTGGCGTGCAGCATATCGGGCTGTTTTCATTCTTTTAGAAACGAGGACATACCCATTTGAGTTTGACGCATCAGGTGTCCTGTGCGGAAGAAACATTTGGTACGCGAAATGTGAAGCTATGCTGTTTGTACATCCACCCGCGTGGCTTGCTGAGTAGCAGCGTGAATTGAGGGCGGCGTGAATTGAGGGTGAATTGAGGGTTCTTTCTAATATTTGAGTCTTTGAGCTTTTTACCATACGGTTGCCAAGGAAAACAGTCGTCCAACCCGTCAGGAACCTTGACGTGTAAATCCCTGACCCAGGCCACGTTCAGACGCCCCTCGGTGGCCGCCATTTTGACATCCTCGGCCTGCGAGGAACTCACAAAACCGCTGAAGCGGTGTGACGCTCCCTGACCTACCCCGGGTGCGTCACTCACGCTGGCAGACGTCTGCACCCTACCGCGCGTGGTGGGCCGCTGCTCTGGGGCGTTCCCTGACCAGCCCCGGGTGCGCCACTATCGCTGGCAGATGTTTGCACCCTGCCGCGTGTGGTGGGCCGCTGCTCCGGCTCCCTGCGCCAGTACTACTTCGACGCGCAGCGCGGCCGCTGCCTCGAGTTCGACTACAGCGGCTGTGAAGGCAACGACAACAAGTTTGACAGCCTGCAGGAGTGCGCGAGTCGCTGCGGTGGCCCTGCGGAGGAGCCGCGGCCCGAGCCCGAGCTAGAGACGAGGGACAGACGGCCCGAGCAGGCCACGCCGCCGCCCGAACAGAGGCCCGAGACGAGGGACAGACGGCCCGAACAGGCCACGCCGGCTCCCGAACAGAGGCCGGAGACGAGGGGCAGACGGCCCGAGCAGGCCACGCCAGCTCCCGAACAGAGGCCGGAGCAGGAGCAAGGTGAAGGACGACGCAACGATCTTATACTGCCAGCCTAGACGTAGTTGATGTAGCAGTCGGGCACGAAAGTAGTGTCCGGTTTTTATAGTCTCTTACAGTCTTCAGTCTATCTCGTCACTTAATCTACAAAACACGTTGACTTGACATCATATTAATAGAACGGGCTACAGCCGTAAGTGACCCTGAACCTGAACTGACCTAACCCTGGAGGCACGGCGGGTCATGGAGGCCGCGGTGCTGTGGGCTGCCAGATCTGCTGCCGACCTGCGCTCGACAGTACGACCCTGGTCCTGCTGGACGCTCGTGAGCGCCTGATTCCGCAATTGCTGGACGGGCCAGCTCGAGCCTGGGCTTCTTTGCCTCTGTTCTTTTGAATATTTGTATCAGTTTCAAGTCAACGTGTTTTGTGTATGGTCACTGTGCTCCAACCCGGACAAGGGTTAAACTATTAAGCGAAAGATCTCTGGACCCTCCTTGTTCATGCTACAACAGCCAAATTCTGTTAGCATCCTTCTATGCTTTTCGTGTGCAAAAAAATGCTGTTCTGTAGCACGGAACTAACTGCACATAACTGCATCGTCGCAAAGTGACGCATTTAAAAAGGCACCGTGCGACCAACCGCTTCTAACTAGCTCGAGAGCATGCAAACCCGGTGACCAGACTGAGTGTGCAAGGCTGTGTATCACCCACCGCCTTCGAGTGACTAACACCAGCTGGCTCAGCGAGCACGCGAGCCCGCTGGCCAGCCCGTCGCGCCCGGCCCTGTTTCTCACTGAGCCCTCGGTGCCGTGGTCCGCTAGATCTGCCGCCGGTGTGTGCCCAGCGGTACGACCCGGGCCCGTGTCGGACGCCCGTCAGCGCCTGGTTCTACAGCGCCGACATGAAGCTGTGCAGGCAGTTCACGTACGGCGGCTGCCGCGGCAACGACAACAAGTTTGTCAGCCAGGAGCAGTGCAAGCGCACGTGCGCTGAGTACCGCGGACAGGGTGGGTGTTGGCACTGCCCGGTGCCGAGAACAGGATGGGGGTCAGTGATTTTGAGCAACGCAACAACGCAGACAGGCTGCGCGTTGGTGTCGCTGAGTGCCGCGAGAAGGGTGGATTTTGACACTGTCAGGTACCGCATACGGGGCATTTGGTGCTGGGGTGTTCCACAGAACCTCGGATGGATGCTAGGGTACACCACGGTAGCCCGGGTAGGCGTTAGGGTACTCCACAGTAGCTCGGAGAGGTGCTAGGGTACTTCACAGTAGCTCGGGGAGGTATGGACGGGTACGGGTTTAGGATATGGGTGAGGTGAGATAAGCCGCGGCCACGGCGTTCGGCAGACCCAGTGCATCTGTCCTTTGTGCCTCTCGTCTCCGTGCTAGCAGGCATCAGGCTGCAGAGATCAGCTGAAGATACTCGGGAGTGCCACATGTCTGGGCACCAGCCAGAGATATTTAAGATATATGAACCAGGCACATGTCAGAGATACTGTCATGGGCACCCTTTTCCTGCGGTAGACCGTATTCGCGAACTCCGCCTAATGGCCATAGGCCACGCGAGCTTGTGATCTGCGTCATATTGTTGGTCCGTTACTTAGTGCCACCACTGGGCTGATTTAAGCATGCGCTTGTGACCGCATCTATGGGTGAAGGCGTACACTACCTTGCGCATTCAGTTTTTTACGGGTCGAACCGTCGTGTCGGGACATCAAGGTGAGCCGGCGCTACCTAAAATCCAAGTAAGTCGACAACTTCGCTACCGTAATTCACGACGCCTGCATCGTTGTGATGGCTGCCAGCACTGGTGTACCCATACACGTACATGCAATGCATGCTCCGATGCGTGAGTGTCGAACAGCGACGCCTGGTCGGCGGATGCCGCGACGCCTGGTCGGCGGACGCCGTAACGCCTGGTCGGCGGATGCGTGACGCCTGGCCGGCGGATGCCGTGACGTCTGGTGCGTGCGCCGCAGACGCCTGCAGCATCCCACCGTCCCCGGGCGACTGCGGCGGCAGCGAGACCAAGTGGTACTTCGACTACCGCGACGACACCTGCCGGCCCTTCGTCTACACCGGCTGCGGTGGCAACGTCAACAGGTGAGGCGCGGGCCACGCTGCTGACGGAGGCCGGTAGCGTTCCGTGACAGCGCTATCGTTATTAAGTAGACTTATGATTCAGTATGTTCATGGATACTCGGTTTCTGTACGATCAATCCACACCATACCATTTGCCCATTATGTACTGATGTGAAGCTTTCAAAACATAAGGACTGAATGGACTACAGCAGATAACGGTCAATTTTAGGATTTTTTCGGAGCTAGCAGGTCTGTAGACATTCATAGGGAATGATCCTAGTGTGTGTTTATTTAGGACAAATGAGATATGAATGTCACCGGCTCGATGGTGTTGCTAACCCCGATTCATACGCAGGTTCTCCACGGAAGAGGAATGTCAATCACTCTGCGTAGACGGCAGCGAGCAGATGGTTCCAGATCTGGAGTCTGAGAAGGATACAAGTAAGCCTTATGTACCTTGTCAACGAGACATCTGCCACATCTATTACCACCCCTTTTATTTTTCCAACACAGGCTCGTTGGTGTGTTTCGTTTTTAAAGCGCGTGAGGGGCGGTTTTACGTGCCATTGTGATGTTTGCCGTTCTCCATCAACAGTGGACGTTGATGTTGGCCTTTTCTGCTGAGACGGTTTCTGACATGAAATTGCTGCTGATTAATACCACTTCATCTCAGGTCATTTACAAGGATTTGTTGTGCGCAGGAAATGTGTGAGCTCCATGGGCTTACGAATGGCGGCTCACCGTATGCACTCGGGTCGCGACGCTTTCCAGGCATGATCGAAACAAAGGCCGGACCGCCACCAGAAGCCAGCACTCCCTGAGAGTCCGATCGCAACGACGGCGGCCCCCACGGAGGAGGCGGCCCCCCAACCGGTCACCACCGGCGCCCCGGTCGACTGCTCGCCCCACCAGCAGCAGTGTCAGACGCTGCGGGTCAGTGCAGTGCCGGAAACTGCAGCTCGCCACAGCTGTGTTGCTGAGCGTGACTATCCAACGGTCTACTGTCTCCACCCATCTGTTACGGGCCTCAGCCGCGACCGGCCTGTCCTTGTTCAATGTGTGTTGCCCACGTACCTTTTCGCCATTTGGCGGTGCTCACCAGCGCTTGCTCACTTCGTCAATTCGGCTCCATGTTCCCTCGCGGCTTCAGTTCACTCCGGGCTGTTCATGCTTGCTCACAGGCTGAAGCGTATGACAACACACACAGCATTTATTCACCCTGGCGTCCACGGACAAAATGCGAGCGTTCACACATCCTTTAAAGTAAGCTACGCACAATGCCAGACAAGTGTCAGCGCGTCCCTCGTTGCGGACAGCGCTAACTGAATACGATTACAAATATTAATAGCCCAGCGTGTCACAGGGCCCTAACCCCTTCCTCACCGTCCAGTATCCGTTTGGCGTGGAACGGCGTAAGGACGACCAGCGGCATTAGCCCCCTCCTCACCGTCCAGTATCCGTTCGGTGTGGAGTGGCGCACGGACAGCCAGCGGCACTAACCCCCTCCTCACCGTCGTGTCCGTTCGGTGTGGAGCGGCGTGCGGACGACCAGCGGCACTGACCCCCTCCTCACCGTCCAGTGTCCGTTCGGTGTGGAGCGGCGCACGGACGATCAGCAGTGCGAGCGCTGCTTCTGCTTCAACCCATGCCGCGAGGTGCGCTGCGGTGCCGGTTACCGCTGCGCCATCTCCTACGGACGCGACGAGGAGGGTGGTCTGCTCGTCAGCGCCGTCTGCCGTCCCGGTGAGCCAGTGTCGCAAGCGGAGCAGGTGACCGCCGCAGGCTAGAGATGCTCCAGTAAGGCGCAGTAAGTAAGGTGCTGTCGAGCGCCGCCATCTCTGTGGTGGGTTGCCGCGGCGTTGAATCTACTCCAGCGCGCTCCTGCTGTGGAGCGATCCTGCTGCTGTGGATGGCACCAACTAAGGAATGTTGTTGGCAGCGTAGGGTAGAGATCCGTAGTTACCGATGGTTCAATAGGCTCGCCAGATTGCTAGTCCGCGACTGGTGCAACTGGCACCACCCCGCATGGCGGTGCGTCACAAGCCAGTTCGGCCTCTATATTGAAGAAAACTACCGTATTTATCTGTTCTTGAACAGCCGTCGCGATCAAGTTCTTGTTTTATTCTGTTTTATTGTCCGTGTCAGGAAACAAGACTGGCGAATGCACATCACCGAACACAGTGGATGAATGCGGCGATGCCAGAGACGGCTGCAGGGACTGATGCAGATTGCCGGAACAACCTCAAGGTACGCCCACATGCTCATGTGCATGCCCTTAACTGCCTGTCAAAGAACGTGAAGGGGGATCGGCACCAATGGCGCCAGCCTGAGCTAGTTTTGATTTTTGTGGCAATGCTGCGGGAGCGGTTGTTTGACGCACCGCAGTTCCGCTGCTCTGCACATATTTTGCCGTCCACGGCGACTGACAGTCTGCCGGCTCCACCGTATGACGCGCAGTTAGCGGCCATTCGTATTTCCACTGGGCCGACGTGTTGTTGCAGTGCTGCTCGGACGGCTGCTCCCTGCGCTGTCTGCCGCCGGACGGTGAGACGGAGGTCATCGTCAAGGAGACCAGCGTCCTGCCCTCCACCACCACCACCATGACCCCGGTTACCGAAGCAGAGGTTAGTCAATTGCGCCACGCGCTCGATCCAGAGTTGCAACGCGCTGGGGGTCGTTATCAAGCCCAGGTTTGTACAGGCTTTAGTAGATGTGGCCTTAGATCATGAACGTCGTGATCCTTACGACCATTCAACAAAGACGCGTCAGCAGGCACATCGGTTTTCGGGTTTGGTGAAAATCGTTTTGGGCAACGTCGGGCTTTCTGGTCGCATACACCGCATTGCATTTGACGCCTTATTTGGGACTTGTGCGGGTTTTGGTCGCAAGTTTTTCGCTGAAGGTGTGGCCCGAAATGTCGTGGATTTCTTTACAGGCGACTGACATGTGGCCCGATGCCACGTTCATGCCCACCGAGCTGCCATACCCGGTGCCAACTGCTGCTACGCAGCGGCCTTACCCGACGTACCCACCGTACCCGACGTACCCGCCGAGCCCCAGGCCTCCTGTACAGCCCCCCAGGGGCCGGGAAGGTCAGTGACGACGGCCCACGACTGGACCTGTCTGGGGCTGGCCGATGTCGGCGCGCTGACCAAATACATGTGGTCGCTTGGCTTTTGTTCAGGTTTGTAGGTGCACACTCTGCTTCAACCCTTTCAATTCCGTTTTGCAAATGTTCCTTGCTTGCTCTGTCGTTTATTGTCTTAAAGACTTGTTCAAGTTACAATCTATGCTGTGAGTAGCACTATTCGCATTTTCTATGACACCATCACGCTCCGACAATATGGCTGTTTACAGGGTCTCCAGCCCGCATCGTTCAGTCGGAGCCCGAGGTGGAAGTTCACGAGGGAGAGCTGGCTGTTCTGAGCTGCATCGCGCAGGGCGAGCCAGAGCCAGTCATCACCTGGACTCACGGTGCCAGGAGGGTAAGCTGCCGGACACTTGTGATCGTCTGGGACAGTGCTGTCGGCAGATAATGCGCCTTCGCCGAGCCTCCATCATCCGGGACGGAGGCTCAGTGCCGGCTGTGCCGCTCAGAGCCTGGGGCAGTGACTGGGCGCCACGCTGTCGGCCAGGTGGACACGAGCCGGCTGTGCCGCTCGGAGTCTAGCGCAATGACTGAGCGCCGCGCTGTCGGCCAGGTGGACACGAGCCGGCTGTGCCGCCCAGAGTCTGACGCAGTGACTGAGCGCCGCGCTGTCGGCCAGGTGGACACGAGCCGGCTGTGCCGCTCAGAGTCTGACGCAGTGACTGAGCGCCGCGCTGTCGGCCAGGTGCACACGAGCCGGCTGTGCCGGTCAGAGCCTGGCGCAGTGACTGAGCGCCACGCTGTCGGCCAGGTGGACACGAGCCGGCTGTGCCGCTCGGAGTCTGGCGCAGTGACTGAGCGCCGCGCTGTCGGCCAGGTGGACACGAGCCGGCTGTGCCGTCAGAGTCTGACGCAGTGACTGAGCGCCACGCTGTTGGCCAGGTGGACACGAGCCGCGGCCGATTCCGTCTCGAGAGGAACGGCACGCTGGTGATCGTGGGCGTCGAGCGGGACGACGGCGGCGAGTACACGTGCACAGCCGACAACGGCCTGGCTGCGCCCGCCCGCACGACCGTCGCGGTCAACGTGCTCGGTGAGCTGGCGGCACCGACGTGTGGCGGCCGTCGTCAGAGTGGTGCCATGCTTGCATGCAGTCGGTTACTGGGCTGTTATAAACTCACTCTGTCTAAGCCTTCTGTTGAGTACTGCTTTGTAGAGTCATCCATGCAACCTACTCAATAACTCCGTCGTAGTACTAATCTAGCATGCTTATCCGTACTATTTCACGCAGTCTTTATAACACCATAAAATGCTCGGCGCGCCACGTATTCCAAAACGCATGCCGACTTTTGACAACAGCCCGCACAATGCCCAGCGGTGAGCCTACCTATCAGTAATCTGCGCAGCTGAGTCGGGTGCAGAGCGACTGATGCCCGGCCGTCATTGGGCAACGGCCGACGCGCGCGCGGCGAGTGAGTTCGGGCAAGCCGGCTGACCTGACCTGCGCGTGGCGGCGCAGACCCGGTGCCGCGGCAGGCGGACGTTCTGCGGCCACCACCCGATGACCAGCCGGTGGTGGAGCTTGGCGGCCCGGCCATCATCCGCTGCTACTCGTACGGCTGGCCGCGACCGTCAGTCACTTGGTGGCGCGACCAGCGCATGCTGCCGCTCTCCTCTGAGCGCGTGGAGCAGAGTCGCGACCACACGCTGGTGCTGCGGCTGGTGCGGCTGCAGGACCTGGGCACCTACACGTGCCAGGCGTACAACGGACAGGGTCGCGCCGTCTCCTGGTCCACCCAGCTGCGCGCCTACGGACCGGTGTTCACCAGCGATCGCTCCGAGGACCAGCCGTTCCTGCAGTTCCTAGTGACGCGGAAGCAGCCGAGCCAGCCGCCCACACGCCCGCCGGCCGTCGAACCTACGCGCTTCCCGGCCCGCCGGCCCGGCGAGCAACCCTACTACCCCGACTACGCCACCCGGCCCACGCGGCCCACCATTACCGACGTCACACCCCAGAGGGGTGAGTGGGCGGCGCGACGAGTCGACTGACGGTCATAATGAGAGGAGGCCCTTCCTCCTGGGCTAGGCGTCAGAAGGCTTCTAGAGCGCCACTCGTCCGAGATTGGTCCGCTGGTCAGCGGCTCTGGGGGAAGCGGGACTGGGGCCAGGGTTGGGTAACCATCCGGCTCTCTCTTAATCAATCACTAGCACGTGTAACGTGACCTAACTACCACTAAGTCGTGTTGTACTAACTGCATCTATTATCGCCCAAGACTTATGGCATAACATGCAACGCTGTTAAAGTCCAGGGAAGAAGAGCAATCATGCATGTACTACCTTGTATTGGCTGACAGTGTTTGCTCAGGTTTCATGGTGTTTTAACAGGTTTCATGGTGAGAAGTATGGATAAGGCATTGCTTACCAGGTATATGGTGCTAATTCATTTCAGCTGGTTCCCCGTGAACGTATCTCACTCAGTAAGCCCCGGGGCATCGCAGGTCATACCGAGAACTATTGCTCCACTACCCAAGGGCGAGGATGCTGCGGTCATGATAGCCATATTCGTCCGGGATCCTTCACGCGCCCTGTCGCAGCGCGCGATGACCTACCGCCGCGACTGATGACGTGATCTGACCGAGCTCTGTGCGGCGCCAGTGGCCGTGCGGGCGTCCATTAACCTGACGGAGACCATGTTCGCGCCGGGTGTCGACATCCGCATCCCCTGCGAGACGTCCGGCTACCCGGAGCCGCGCATCACCTGGTACAAGGACAGCGTGCTTGTGCAGCCCGCCCAGCGGCTCCGCATCCAAGGCCAGTAACCCGTCAGTCGGCACGGCGGCTCGAAAATCTTGCCAGTTTTGGACACGTCACAATTTGCGTGCGTGTGTGTGTGTGTTGTGTGTGTTGTGTGTTGGAGAAGGGAACGGGGAGGCGTACGGGCATCATTTTTCACAATTTTCCTTTTGTCTGCCGTTTCTGACGTAATCTTTCTTTTGCTGTTCGCTTTCTAGCTTGGTAAAGCACTAAGACATGTTTTATGATTCATGTCTTCCCACTGCAGGCAACGATCTCCTTGTCCTGAGGTCGGAGCCGTCTGACACCGGTGTCTACCGATGTGAGGTGGATAACGAGTTCAGCACCGCCGAAAGCAGCGTTAGCATCGTCGTCGAGGGTGAGTAGTCAAGAGTTAGTTGTACAGAATAGGCAAGGGGTTGTACCCCACGCTAATTTTCCTTCTCCGTGCAAGACATGTTTGAGTTATGCGATCACATCTGACCATGATGTGGTTCAATGCATTCGATTTTCATGACGGCCTGGCCGCCGTATGACCATTGCAGTCGGCGCACCACACAGCCCAAATTGGCGTCATGTCACGCACGCCTGGGGTGAGCGCAAGTGCCACATTCTGACTTACGGTTTCGCAGGCACCTACGTTCATCCCAACTGTACGGACAACCCGTTCTTCGCCAACTGCAAGCTGATCGTGTCAGCGCGGTACTGCGCCAACCAGTACTACGCGCGCTTCTGCTGCCGCTCGTGCACGCTGGCGGGCCAGCTGCCCTCTACCGGACGGCACCTCAACTATCCGCCGGCTGACGGCCGCGTCTAGCGACCTCCATGGGCCGAATACGAACTACAGTTGCGGACGGTCGTCGCTAGACGCTGCGCTCCACGGCCACGGGGCAATGACGCGAACGACGCGTGGTGAGGCTCTGCTGAGCAGTTAAGGCGCCAGGGTTATGGCCGGAGCGCTGGGATCGAGCTCAGCTCAGCCACGGCCGGCGGCCGTGCAGTGCACAATGAAGCCTGGTCCGCACTGCATTCGGTACAATGCTACCAGTCGCTTGCTGCCAGCCGGAAGCCTCGAGTCCGTGTGTTTGCGATGCTCGACATCACTGCCAATGACGTGTGTCAATGTCCAGCCGGTGAGGTTGAGCACAGGGCTGAACGGCTTAGTCCGCTGGTAAACAAGTAGCGTGGGTTGCCAGCGCGCACGGCCGCCAGTTGTTAAGCAGTGTGTATGAAATGCTTGTCTTTAAATGCCATTTGACCAAGCGTGACTGTCACTTGGCTTGGCCATGCTTTGGAAAGCATGAACGAATGTTAGCCGCGGCTTCTTACGGACTAGTTCACAACCGTGTGCCAGACTGTCTTACTTTTTTACGAACGCCAGTAAACCCGTGCTTTATACCAACAAGTGTACGGTATTACACCACATGGTCTGTTACACTATTGGACGAATTCCTATTTTAGATATTTGCATGTGTGGTTTCTATCGCCTGACATCGGCCAGTCGTGTAATTTTATGTCGTCCTTGTCAGCCAATGACCTTGCCCTCGCTTTGATGCGAACCCAGTGTTCAGAACTGGCCCTGGCCATCTCAGCCACCTGAATATTGGGAGGAAAGGCAGGTGCAAAGCCGACCCTGGCACTCCCCCACCGCATCTTTTATGTCTTTTGAATTATACGGTGTCCGTCGTCTTTGCATTTAGTACACATATGACTATCCGTTTTGCTAGCTTTTTGTCCACGACCTCTGCCGCTGGAAATACAGAGTGGTGGATGTCGGCCACCAGTTTCCCGTTTTCAATGTCTGCATTGCAGCGGACAGCAGACCTTAAGTGACAGCCTGTATGTGAAATAAAGCCATGGAATTCTGCCGAAGCCTTTCAAATCGTCATGACAGCGCCATGCCTGCACCGACCGCATGTCTGAAGAGCGAAGCAGATTCCTAAAGCAAGTTCTCAAAGAATGCAGCGATTTAGACCAAAAGCCATCCCTTCTAAAATCCATTAAAGAAAACTATTTTGATGCATTCATGACAAGTTTGCCAGCTTGCGCCATTGGCATCCTGTTATCCATAGCAGCAACTTAGTGATCAGTCGGGCAGCGACAAGGGCAAGGACAATTTTCTGCCACAATTGCACCACTTGCCACGTGGTTTCGGGGTATGTATCAAGATCCACGCACACTAGCAGTGTCAGCGCCCCGCAAGAAAAGGGGTAACCTGTGCCGATATTTGATATAAACAGAGTACGACAAGTTACTAGACAAAATCAAAGATAGATTCTAAAATGCTTGGAGGGAGTGTTCCGCATTTCTATGGGGTGTTCAACTGAAAGAGCCGTCTTGGAGACCTTTCGGTTCAGTTAACAGCACTGCACTTCTTAAACGCGCCCGGTTGAGGGGATGGGGGGGGGGGTCAACTTACAGGGGTGGTAAAAGTGTACTTTTTGTCGCAGACCAAATTTTTGGAGGAAAAACTGTCGCCAGTAACGTAGTGCGATATCATATGACAACATAGTCATAAAGTCCATGCCCAGTAGCGTAATCAGTAATCAGCCTTTCACAGAAACTCTTCCATCACTGCAATTTTCAATGTCATGCACATAACCGAAACGTTCAGTCAAACACCGCCCTTGAACAAATGTCAGGATAAGTGCTGTTGCTAGGGAAGCAGGCGCACCTGCCCTAGACTAATGACATAGCCCAATCACGTCAGGAGTTTTCTTCCACCCTCTGCCCCCTCGGGACTTGCCGGGGCCTCACGTCTAAACTCGATCTACGGCTAAATTTGCTTTCCTCCTCCGCAAGAAAGCAGCGAATAACCTCAATAGCCATATCGGCAGAATGCATGGCAGATCCGAACCAGTAGCAAGCAGCACTGGGAATGACGTCAGATATAGGGGCCTCTACAAGGCCATGCTCCTTTATGAAAATCACGCTGCGCTTCGAGCCCCATCTCAACCGTCGTCCAACTATCCACCACACCTTTGGCATGCTCCAAGCCTGGCGTGACATGTTTTGACTGGTGGGCGACTTCGCCGTGCCCCAACAAGTCATTGTATGGAAATTTATCAATAACTTCACGTCAGGCGTCACTCTTCCTGAACAAGTTATTCGCCCTGACAGGAGAGGGAGGGTTTGCGATGCGACCCCCCCCCCCCCCCATACGGTCTTCTGAGGATACCAATGAGGATACCAATGCGGCATATTATGCAGTATTGCTCAAATCTTTGGCAGCCTCTGGGACATCCATTGTACGCGTGTTGACAGCTAAAAAGTGCCCCTAGCAATTCTGGTCTCAGAGTGGCAACGTTTTTTACGACCTTTGCGAGACTATTCAAGGCCGGCGGGCGCGGCGGGGGGCAAGCGACGATTCTGCGGGCCGCGCCCGAAGGGTTGGCACCGCCACAAGAACGGAACCCTACATTATAAATCTAGTCTCCAAAACAGACAAAACTACTCGCCATTGCACTCATAATTAAACAAAGAACACGTCTCTTTATGTTTCATGTCACTTCACTTTATGGTTTGGTATATATAAACAGACCTGATGTTTGGTTTTCAGGAATATTTGACCTTCGACGTGGTCTAGTAGGGTCAATTAACAACAGGCGACTTCTTACCAATCACAAGACCTCGCTAAAGCCAGGTGAATTTTTCTGCGATTTCTTAGTTTGCAAACGTCAGGGAATCACCCTCTCCCCCCCCCCCCCTCCAGTCCAGTCCGCGTTACAAAAACCGGCGAACCAGGGTAAGTGATAAAAGCGTTGGCTGACATGCTTTCTTATTCATTCTACATATGCAGATGTAAAGTCTGTATGTCAGGTTATGAAAACGTGCACTGCGACAGCAGAATGACGCATTTCGTTACCAACAATCAAACCTTGATAGAAGTTCAATCAGCAAGCCAAAATCGCCCTTTGCATGCAAGTGGTAAGCAAATCTGATGTTATCTGTGATGTCTGTCATGTGTAATGCAGGAGTGTCAATTCAAATTATTTTTGAGGGCACTACTCAATATCTTTGTTGGGTTGGGCCACCTTAATGCTGATTCCTCCTCCTCCCAGCCAACATTTCCAGCTGGAAAATTACAAAATATGTGTGAGAAAAAAAGCTAGCTTTAACACAAAACCATTCTCTCTGGACTTAATTTATTGACCATGATCCATGGGTTGCTTCTCCCTCTAATCATACCTAAAAATTGGCATTCCTGTCATTATGTCAACACCACATGTTGGGCTGGGCCCCTCAATGCTGATTCCTCCCCCAGCCAACATTTCTAGCTGGAAGATAAAAAGGATGTAAGGAAAAAGCTAATTACAACACAAAATCATGTTTTCTAGACTCTGAAGACAACATGAGCAAAAACAGTCATGAAACTTATCATATTTGCATTAATGCAATGCCATGCTTGTAAGTGCAAAGAAAATATTCACATCAATGAGCACTGCAGAATGAATAAATTCCAGGGGTTTCCTGTTACAGTAAGGGTGCTATCACCAGGAAATAGCAAACATTGCCCTCATGGGCAACCAAATGCCAACATTTCATTGAACTCATAGGATAGTTGGACCACAATAACATAAAACCACCTGCTATTTGAAGCAGAACTCTTGTTAAAGGGGGAGATGGCAATGAAACCTGTACCCCCTCCTCTTTGCCTATGTTTCATACACCATTTCACCCTTCACTTGCATTGCCTCCTCATGGGCCTACCACATTGGGTATCATAAATTTCCAGCAACCAAGATTCATGTCAACAAAAGGTTGAACTGTAAACAATTGTCTAAAAGCTATCAAAACATTGATTGGAAAATTATATTTCAGGCAGGGCATTGTTTTTGAATAAAGGTTAGGGAACAGTGAAAAATTATGCAATGTACCCAAAATATGGATGTCTCCCAGATTAGTACAGCACACTTCTTAACAAACTTAGGGGGAGAGTTGGAGCTCTGAACCGAATAAAACGTAGGAGCATTCCAATTTGAAGATTTATGTGACTGGTATCAGGACACAAAAAATGGCACAAAAATGACACAAAGTAGTATTTCTGAACCATTGTCACCTTCTGTTATTTTCTTCATGAGGAGTGCCATCAGACTTCAACATCAAAGCCACAGTTCTTTGAAAGGGAAGAAGGCTGGTCGTTTGCGCCAGCTTCAGTGAGTCAGCAGCCTTCTCAGTGTCTTGAAAAGGCGATTTGGATAACCACAGGTCAATTTCTTCCCTGATCGGATCATCCCGCCGACTTACCCTCAACTGTCAACGCCTCGCGTCGCTGAGGACAGGATGCTGAATCACGGCATAGCCAACGAAGTAAACAAGGCCAGAAATTTAGCCCTGGGCGGGTACTCATGACACCGCAATGCTAATGGCAATTGCAAAATTTCAGTGCATTGAAAGTCACCGCCCACCTCAGATCAGTCGCATCGTTACAATTGAAATACGCCGTTGAGGCTAGATCAATCGCCATATCTAGATATTTGTCGGTACTTTTTACTATCTAGTTCGGGACACTGCGTCGACTATTAAAAACGGCGAATCGGCCGACCGGCCCGCCCATAGGAAATACACTAGTTGTCACTGGCCTGTCTCCGAGTCGGCCGACCAATTAAAATTCGTCGGATAGTTTTGTCGCCGGGTTGGAATGAAATCTAGAAAATACACCAGGGTGCGTAGAGTACGATAAAGAGTATTTACAGGAACGTTTGCTTGTGTTGTGTGACGGCATGTATTACGACGGAGGCACAATATGTATGCAGTGACCTCATGTTATGTTTTGCATAGTGTGCTGTGCTGTGCTTTTCGTCTTGGCCATCACCAGAATTTGCTGTCCAAGAACATTTTTGGCACCAAGCTTCCCGTGAAC